CCATAAACATACCAGATACCACCCTAAATTATTATCAATGAAAGGCATACTTTCAAACCACTCTTTTCTGAACGTCAAGAAAACATGACATAATTTTGGCGACTGTTGTTTTAAACATTTCGAAAAGAATAAAGTTTCAAGCTAAACCCTGTATTTTCAGTTTTACTGTTTCGCTATAATATAATTGCTCCAACACTTTGAAGTAGTTTGAGGCAAATTTGAATACAAAACAAAACCAAAACAGTTAGAAAACACCATTTGTGCTTTTGTTGATAAAATTCAATTTTTGAGACCTGGATTTGTTGGAAGAATTTTGAACTTCCCTCAAAAAGATTATTGGAAGATTATTTTTGAAACAGTTTGACGCCCTGCAGCGCTTATGTTATAATCAAAGCCCTCAGCACTCGGCCGTAAAATTATTTTCTTTTAGTAAACGAATTATAGACGCCAATTGAAATAAGCATTTTCATGTGTATAGTTTGAGGACAATCGAACTTATTGAGCTCGAAGAGCTTTTTTGGTTTCGGTTAGAATTTTATTCAACGTTTTCTTCGTCCAATTGAAACAGTCAAGATCGTCCGTCAAATAATCAAATGAAAACGTTTTTTTTCCTTGTTAGTACTCAGCTTCATGCTTTTGATTATATTTTTTTGAATCAAGTTAACGTCCTCCTCAAAGTTAAGAACCTCCACCCCAGCGTTCAATACAAATGAAATTTGCTAACTCTGCGTGTAAAATGCTCAATTCTGATTGGCTTACAATTCGAACTCAGAGGCAATAAAACATCTTTTCTCCGCAAAAAAAACATCATGTCTGTGCTGGACCGGAAAATAAATAGTCGAGACATGGGTTTGGGTCGAAACATACCTCGAGCACGGTCAAAACATTCCTCGAGCACGGTCGAAACATACCTCGAGCACGGTCGAAACATGCCTCGAGCACGGTCAAAACATTCCTCGAGCACGGTCAAAACTTACAGCGAGCATATCGAGAATCAATTTTTTGTCGGATTTTTTGCTCGCAAAACTGTAAAAAAGATGCAAACCGCAAATAACCAAGTATAACTGTATTTTCTAATGTGCAGTTAGCTAGACCAGCTTATTTCCTGGGTCATTAACAGGACAGACACGAGAAGGCCTGTACATGGTCCCAAAAATTTATTATTACAACCAATCAAACGAGAAACTTTAGAATTAAAATTAGAAATAGTTTTTCGGATTTTTTAAAAAGTTTTCTAGACCATTTCCACGTTTCGAGTTTTTCAAAAAATATATCAAAAACAATCGAAATTAAGAAAATGCAGTATTTCCTTTCCATTTTAATCCAATAAAATGAAGGACGCACTTTGTTGTGGACATTACCTTGCGTCATTTTTTTACTCTCTACAGTTGTTGTAGAGCCCACTATCTAATACTTCAAACATTGGCGCGTACCGTACTCTATTGCGACAACTCGCACTAAAATACAACTCGCAAAAAAGACAACCCGAAAAAAAAAACTCGCAAAAAACACAACTCGCAAAAAAGGACAACTCACTGCATTAATCGCGCCAACCCGTTGTGAGCTTGCCAACAGATGGTCGGACTTTATACACAATATAGAGCCAGTTATCGCCCCCAAAGTCTACCCGCGACCT